CTCACAGCCAGTGGATGTCATCCAGGAACCATATCAGTAACAGGTTTGATTGACACTGGAGCAGATGCCACAATATTCTCATGACTTTGCTGGCCTCAATCATGGCCTCTCATTCATGCATGGTTTGGACTTTTGGGGTTGGGTGGTGCTACAACAGGTGGTTTGTCAGCCATTGTAATTAATGTGAAACATCCTGATGGCCAGCAAGCTAACATCAGACCCTATGTTGTTGATGTTCCTCAAAGTTTATGGGAACAAGATTGCTTATCTCAATGGGGTGTCAAGATTACTACGGATTTTTAATAGGGGCCACTGTGACGCAGGGCGGTGAACATCCAGTTGTAGCCTTGACATGGTTGACAGATAAACCTGTCTGGGTTGACCAGTGGCCCCTTACTACTGAAAAGCTTACTGCCCTGCAAGAACTGGTCACAGAACAATTGCAAGCAGGACATATTGAAGGATCATTCAGCCCCTGGAATACCCCTGTTTTTGTAATAAAAAAGAAATCAGGAAAATGGAGACTTTTACATGATTTACGGCACATAAATGCTGTAATGGCAACAATGGGAGCTTTACAACCAGGCCTTCCTACACCTACAATGATTCCACAGGAATGGCAGATAGTTGTCACTGATATGTAAGATTGTTTCTTCACTATTCCATTGGCTGAGCAAGACAAAGAAAAATTTGCTCTTACTGTGCCTTCCACAAATAATGCTGAACCTAATAAAAGATATCAATGGAGGGTACTTCCCCAAGGCGTGGAAATTCACCAACTATTTGTCAATGGTTTGTGGCACAGGCCTTGTCAAAAGTGCGGTAGCAATTTAATAACTGCTACTGTTATCATTACGTGGATGATATCTTGTTAGCATCTGACAACAAACAACAGTTGTCAGCTCTTAAACAATGTGCTGTGACAAATTTGAAAGCTTTTGGTCTGATCGGAACATATACCTTGGAAATATCCAGGTATGTTGGTGACTAACACGCAAGTTATGCCTCAACCTGTGAAATTAGATGTTGATGTTAAAACTGCTACTGATGTACAGAAATTGGTTGGTTTTATAGGTTGGATTCGATCATATTTAGGCATAACTAATCGTCAGATACAATCATTGTTTGATTTGCTCTCAGGTATCACTTCCTCCACTGATGAGAGGCAATTGACTCCGGCAGCAAAAAAGACCCTAGAAGAAATTGAATTTGCCGTAGCACATAAATTTGTTATCAGAATAGATACCTGTGTTGGTGTTCAATTGTTTATTTTGAAGGACCATGAAATACCATGTGGAAAACTGTGTCAATGGAGGGATAATTGGGAAGAACAACTGCATATTTTGGAATTTTATCTTTCAGATATCGGAAAACAGCACCAGGACTTTATGAGCTTTTTGCAGATATTATCATCAAAGGCCACAGGCACTGTCATGAGATTTTGGGACACAACCCTGTGACCATTGTGATACCTGTACAACAGTGGTGTTTTGAATGGTGCTTTCAAAACAATCATGAGGCTGTGAGACTCTGGCACCACGTCAGAGAGGTTCCAAGAACCTGTTAATTTAGTCACTGATTTGGCCTATGTTGCTGGAGTAGCTATGAGGGCAGAACATTCGTTATTAAGGGAAGTGACAAAGCCAAATTTGTACGAGTTGCTTTCAGAATTAATACACCTTCTCTCCCACCGAAAGCAACCGTTTCACATTAGGCATGTGAGGGCACACACTGACCTCCCAGGACCCATTGTGGAAGGAACTGTAAAGCAGATGCCCTGGCCATGCCTGTGCACTACACCAATGTGCCAGATATTTTTTCACAGGCCAAACTAAGCCATGATTTCTTTCATCAGAACGTTCCTGTGTTAATGTTCAGACTACCTCGGGATCAAGCCAAGGCAACGGTGTCCACCTGCCCAAATCACAAAGTTTATCAAATTCCATCTTTAGCCTTAGGGGTTATCCCCCGAGGCCTGAACAGCTGCCAGTTTTGGCAAATGGATGTTACACATTACCCTGCCTTTGGATGATCCAAATACTTACATGTGTCAATTGACACACTCTCAGGGGCAGTATTTGTCTCGGCCCATGCAGGAAAAAGTGCCAAAGAGACCATCAGGCACTTTCTCCTTCGTTTGCCACCTTGGGATTCCCTGAAGAGATTAAAACAGACAATGGTCCGGTTCCTACCTCCCACAAGCTCAAAGATTTCTTCAATCAGTGGGGGAGTAAAGCACAATACAGACATACCTCATTCTCCCAGCAGCCAAGCCATCACTGAAAGAGCAAAGAGCCCATTCCACCCTTAAACGGGTCCTCGATCAGCAACGGGGAGGGACAGAGACAACCTCTCCAACTGAGAAGCTCTGTAAGGCTCTTTATACAATAAAGTTTTTGAACAGCTCACTTACAGAGACAATTCCCCCTGTCCTCTGGCACTTTTCCAACTTGATCCAAGCAAAACTAGTTGAAAAACCACCGGTGCTGATCAAGGACCCAGACACCCAAGAAATTTCTGGCCATTTCCCTTTAATAACTTGGGGAAGAGGATATGCCTATATCTCAACACCATCAGGACCCAGGTGGCTCCAAGGGAAACTTCTAAAACCACTTCTTACATGAACAAATATACCAGTGGCAAACACTCCTGAGATCAACACGGAAGACCTAAAAGATGAGACGAGCTCTGCATGGAGACTGAGGCAGTGCAAATCCTCCAGACAAAATCCACCCACTCATCCCACCACAAGAAGCAGGACCAGAGCTGGACATGGACACATCACCCACAATGGATAAACCACAGAATAAATGACACCCCCTCCCCTTACTAACACTCTTCTAACATCCCACTCACTAACATCCTACTAACATCCTTCCACATACCTTCCTGTTCCCAGTTACAACATTTACCATCCCTCCTTCTCTATTTTAATTTTCCCCACAGCCACACACTTTATTTTACCTTATTACTATTCTCCTTTCCTGATATTTATTAAATAAAGGGGGATAGAGGAAGAGAAGGGAAGGCACCAGCCTTGCCCACCCTGAATGTGACAATTTTTTAAATAACTCTTTTAAACCTTACAGAAAGCACCTACCCTGACACTATCCACCACAATGAGAGCCACCACCTACCTAGCCTCAGTCGTCCTGGTCTGGATGCCCCCGTCACCACCAACCATCGACGCATGGATGGTGGCACAGCCCAAAGAAAACTTCAACAGGCTGTGCTGCCTCAACCTATCCTCCCACAGCAAGGCCATCCATGCCAAAATCCACAAGATCCAGGACCAAGTAAAAGAACTTAAAGCTCAAATGGCCCCAGACTCGTACCAGGACCTCTTTGGAAATTGGGGCCTCAAAGGATGGCTTGAATCCATTTTAAATAATTTATTATGGGTGCTTTTGATTGTCTTTATTGTTTTATGTTTATTAAGCTGTTTTAAATGTTTAATTTTCAAACCATCCTTGGGAGACACCTTTTTATTAAATAAAGAAGGGGGAGTTGTGGAGGCTGATAGGCCTACAGAACAAAGGTCCATTATAACCCCCGCTAAGCTGGAGAAATCTCCCTGTTCAGGGCGACTGAGCAGAGCCTCTCCCAGGATGCTTTGTTGTATATGCAAATGTACCCCAGTTAAACCTCCCTGGTTGTCCCGTTGGCTTCTCCACCCCTTTTTCCTTATATGTTTATGCCTTAGAATGTTCTCCCTTCCCTGCTTATCCATTGGTCCCATATTCCTGCAGTGTCCTGCTGCCTTTACCCTGTTGGTTGCCGCCCCTTGTTCCCCCTGTACCACCCTGAGCCCTCAGCCCACCGGCCCTGATGCTCTGCTCTGCCTCCTTGTCCCCTCTAAACCTGGACCCTCCAATGTGCTTTTGTCAATGTCGCCAGACCCCTTCATGTGTGGCTGCAACAAACCTCCTTGGAACTCCACACAAAGACCCTTCCCACTTCTTTGTTGTGGGTAATTCTACAAGATCTACCGGGTGTGCTGGAGTGATTGTGTGTGTGTGCTTGTGCCACCGAGCGGCTCCATTACTGGAGACACTTCTGGAAGGTTGCAGAATTGCTGCTTCTTGCTCCACCACCAACAGGCTAGTGGCTTGCAACAAGCATCAAAAATGGCATACTGAGTGGGGGTTAATAATGGGCTCACCAATCCCTTTAAATCATGAGGAGTCATAAGATGAGTTGACAATGTAGACTGTAAAAGATTAGCAAAATAGGGAGAC